GTAAAAAAATTCTTTGAATAAAAAACAGAATTTATAAAAAATAAATGAGAATGCAGTCTTTTCATTCTTAAATATACTGTACATATAGAGGAATTCAGCTTAATGTAATGAATCATTTCAATATAAATCTGTTTCTATGTACAGTTTGTAACGGTATTGTACATGGGGCAACTATATTTGCTACCCTCTTGTTCATACACAAGTCTAGTTTCCTGATTTACAGCGCGCCACGATGGTTGTGCTTTACTGCTCCTTTTTACAATGCAAGTCCATGAGGTCAAACTAAAAAAAAAAAACAATTCACTCTGTGTGAGGCTGTTATCTTATCTCAAGTGACCCTCATTTGGATCCAAATCCTTCTGTACCTTTTCCCTCCTCTGTTTTTGGTCTGATGTATAGAGGTCTATAAAAAATGTACTATTTAACTATCAAAAGTGTTTTACTGCACTAGACTTTTATCTGGCCTTTAAATTACTCCATTTGATGTTTTGAGAAGCAAAAATAAAGGGAAAGTAGTGATGAAAAAAATGCAATTTTCGGTTAACCCAAACACTTTTTGTGCATTAACCACCTCCCGTCCGCCGAAAGTTGAAAGACGGCCGGAGGGGAGTCTCCTGGATGCGGGTGGGCGTCTTTAGACGTCCTTCGTGCCTGCGGTAACCGTCTGGATTTTAAACGGCCAGTGATATTTTAAACGGCCGTTTACATACAAGTGGTGCGGCGTCTGTAAAGAACCGCCGGGTCGTTAAGAAAAAACGGACGGACGGCAGACTCGCATCCGCGAAAAAACCACACAAAAATGTTTTAAAGTCCCCCACGACGATTGCTCCAATTATGCTGTACCACGCGAACGTCGCAATGAAAGCAATAATTCTCGGGCCATTAATCACTGATAACACTAAACTGATGAGCGGTAAAATCTTTTTAAGCGTCGCCTATGGCCACTTTTAACTATGGTGGTTGTTTGCGAATTTCGCGGGCGCGTGCAGTTTTAAGGCTTGACATGTTTGGTGTCTATTTACCTGACGTGACCCCGCCTTTTATATTTTACTAAAAAATTGGGTAAAAATAAACGTTTCCTAAAATAAAATGGGATAACCATTTTTTTTTAAACATTCTGTAGTTTTTTGGTTATATAGTAAAAAATAAAAGTGGCAATTAAATACCACCAAAATAAAGCTCTATCTGTTCCCAAAGAATGGTATAAAACTTAATTTCAGTACAGCGTTGCATGACGGAATAAATGCCAGCCAAAGTGCCGCAGCGCTGAATACTGAAAAATGGCCTGGCCAGGAAGGGGGTGTAGACGCCCCGGTCAGCAAGTGGTTAATCAACATGGTCTGTGTTACTGGAGGCAAGGCTGTGAAGGTGTGTCCTTATTTTGTGCTATGTGTTCCTCTCCCAAAGTAGGGAGGTATGTGCAACAGAGCAATGCCATGGCAGTGAAAGTAAATATAGGTGGGTCCAGGGATATGCTATGAAGCATAGAAACCTAAATGGAGAAAATGACAGAGTCTCTTTAAAGAAGAAATCTCATGAGCAATGAAATCTTAACTGCTGATCTAGTGATTAATGCAGAATTGTTTTTATTCCTGATGGTTTAAATGAATTATGTATGATTGTGCTCTAGATCCATTCTTTTTCTCACCCATTACTGCCTGGCAGCTCCTCCCCAGCCAGAAGCCGATTTGTGGCTGTTCTTATAGTGTAGCTGCAGCAGAGCTCTGTTGCCAATGCTCCCTCTGCTGTGACCGAGCATCTGCTGTGTTTGTTTTCACTGGGAAGAGGAGACTTGTGCTGACACGCTCACTGCCCCTGCATGCTGTAATCAAATTATTAACTATTTACCTTCACAGCATGGTCAGACAGCAGAGGGGGGGCTTGCTGTTGACTATGCTAGCTCAGCATCTATTAAAATGGAACTAAGTGTTTCATGCACTATGTCCCCTGAGGGACAGGAGTAGCTGAAGATTTGCTTGGTGCAGCTTCTTCTGTAAGGTAAACACTTTAATAATAACTCAATGCACTAAACTTATTTTCATATAAAATGAAATCTCTACTTAAAGAAATAGAGACTGCCATTACTCTCTTCCTTCACACAGCTCCCTCCTCATGTATCACTTCCTCCTCCCTTTAGATTGTAAGCCCTCATGGGCAGGGCCCTCCTTACCATCTTGTCTTGATTTGTATTGTGATTGTAATGTCTTCCTTATATTGTAAAGAGTTGCGCAAACTGTTGGCGCTCTATAAATCCTGTATAATATTAATAATAGTTCATTTAATTTTTTTTTAAAAAGGAAAAGATACATTTCTACATAAAAGTACAATAAGCACAACTACTTTTTATACATTTTAAATACACAGAGAAAGAGGTGTATACATTTTTTCAAGGGAGACGTGTGGACATTTCTTCCAGGTGCTGCAGAGACTAATAAAATCCAGGGGGAAATCACAGATCAAACACCTCAATGTCCAGATGTTGGCTGCTGAGAAACTGATACAATGTCCTCCGGTAAGAAATGCTATTTATATCATCTAGTAATATCACATCTATTGTGCTGTATGGCTAGAAAGCATGGGACGGTTTTTACCCATTTTCCAGGTGAATGTGACATTATGAAAACTAAAAAGTAAATGATGACTTGGGTTAGATATGTTCGAATACTTATATACATACGTGGTGGTCTTGTCCTCAAATACAACCCTTTTGGACCCAGGTAATAGACCAGATAGAGAGGATTACCACGGTGACATTACCTCTGAACCCAATGGTTTGCCTCTTTCATCTTATGGACCTCCTGACTACGGCATATAAAAGATCATTGGTACTCCCTCTACTGAACGCTGCGAAGACCTTAATTCCACTACATTGGAACCAAACAAGTAGTCCAACTATAAGCGAATGGTATAAGAGGGTGGAATACTATAGAACGATGGAAGAACTGACGGCCATTCAGAGAGACAAGTTTAAAAAATTGAATCCATCTGGCTACCGTGGACTGTCTTTAAAAAATCACCCGGATACTTGCAGGACATGGGATAGAATAGTCTATGTGAAGAATATCTGTTACTACGACTATAGATGACTAAATAGCAGACGCCCTTGGCAAACGGGTATAGGAAATATGAAATAGTAGAATTTGTGTACTAGGAAATCTTAAGCCTTTTTAATTAAGGAACATCACGAAGATCACCG